CACGCTGAGCATGCTGCCCTCGGGTCCCATGCACGTGTGGGACTAGAACTGCAGGCTCAACAGGTGAGAACCTCCTGGGTTACAGGAAGAAGGCTTCAGCTGCTTGGGGCTGTAAGGGCCGCGCACCTCCACCCCTGCCAGTCCTGGGGCGCCTTCTCTTCCACGTGCAAGTCACAAGCATCTGTGGTTTTCCTCATCACACCTCCCCACCACACACCTGACTCCACCTGGCTGGGATGGGAACATGCCAGGCTTCCCTGAAATGCTTCAAGATCTCACGGTCTCGGGAGATATCATAGGAAAATGGAGGGGGGTGGTTTCCCCAAAGCATTGTGTGCCCAAAGTGGGGACTACAGTGGCTCTGTGAAACGGGGGGCCTTGAGCACTAATCTCGGTGCCCAGGATGGCAGGTCACAGCAAAGTAGAAGGGGGTGGCCGCTCAGGACTGTTGCTTCCGAGCCCACCCAGAATGGCAAAAAGCTCAGGAGGCGGCTGAGTTCCATCATCTCTCAAAAGCAGAGGAAGGGCAAGGATGCAAAAGTGAGGCCTGACAGCTCTCACCGAGTGGTACCAGCAGCCTCGCCCCACCTGGAGTCAGGTAGCAAGGCAGGCCCAGCCTCCCACCCTGCCTGTCCCAGGCCTACTGAACCAGAATCTGCGCATGAACAAACCCCCAGTGAGTCACAGCTGGTCCAGGCCTCAGGGGGCTGCTGAGCCTGCTCCGTGCTCCCCAAGGCCTCAGCTAAGCTGGCAGGGAAGGTGAGAGCCAGCCTCGGAACTGAAAGGCCAGGCTGTGTGTGTCAGGTTGTGTCCATCACTGAAGGCAGAAAGGGGCCCTCACCTGCTGGGGGCTGGAGCCCACCTGAGATGCACATTGTGGCTCTGGAGAAAGCCTTCACAGTCACCGGAGCCTGCTCCAGCCCTCAGGAGGCAGGCCCTGAAAGGCTTGACCACGAGGCAGAGGGTAAAGCAAAAGACGCCATCCCTGACCTGTGGGACAGGCAGGCACAGAGCAAAGGAACTGACCAGAGTAAGCCAGAGCCCTAGAAATGTGACCGCAGCAATGAGGCCCGGGGGTAGGGGGAGCAAAGGCTGAAAGGGCGGGTGGGCTGGTGCAGGACTGGGGCGTGGTGGGTGGTGACATTCATGTGAACTGTACCCCTTAATCACATACCGTGTTTTAGTGTTACCTCAATAAAATAATAAATTTAAAACAGGTAACAGCCCTCCCCCGCCACCCCGGGAAGCCGAGGGCACTGACATTAGCTCTCCCTGAACTTGGAAAACATCACTGACCCTCATCAGTCATGGTGAGGGCTGAGAAGGCCAGTTTGGTTTTGAATAGCTCCCCATCAATTGTAGAAGTTGATGAAATTTAAAGGCTCTAATCCCTGGTGGCACAGGGGTTAGAGTCAGCACTAGCAAGCTATCTGCAGCCTCTACAGCAGAAGTTCAATCCCCAGGCAGGGAGTGACCCAGAGGGCCCGGCAGACCTCTCCTATCTCCCC